GAAGACTCCTGAATTGTAACATAGTCCAGATTGTCCATGTTTCTCTTTATAAATAGTGTTGTTTTATGTCTTGTTCAGGGAGCCCTCCCTACCTGAAAATCTTGGAGATATCGCACAATATTACCTTCTAAGAGCTCCATTGACTTGTCTTTGGTAAAACAGTAGATCTTCTCCATCTGCCCTGGGTTTCAGTGCATCGTTGGAGTCAAAGGTGCAATCTCATCCCACTGCACTTAGATCCCTCGCTGCCCACACACATTATTGAAAAGTTTATCTTCTCATCACTTCTGTGCATCAGCCCCTCTATCGTGCATGGCGTTTCCTGTAGTTTAGGTCTATGGTATTTCTAGGAGCTCTGTTCTGTTCCCGTGGTCTAGTGGTTTAACCCTGTGTCAACACAGCACCCTCTTCTTTTCTATAACATTTTAATATGTCTTGACATCTTATGGAGCCAGTCCCCATACATTGTTCTTCATGATTGCCTTGGCTGAATTTGAAAGAATTTACTTCAGTGTAAATTTACAATAGCGGTACCAAGTTACACAAAAGTCACTTGGGAGATTAGTGACATGTTGCTTTAACTGCAGATTAATTTGGGTAGGCTAGACTTTTATATAATACTAGAGGCCTGGTGCACAAATTAGTGCACCAGTGGGGTTTGGCTGGCCCGTCCTGATGGCGGCCAATCAGAACCAGGCTGGCAGGGGGCGGGGGGAGGATGCGGGAGGTTGGTCGCCAGCCCCATCCCCAATCAGGGTGTGTGTGTGGGGGGGGACAATTGGGGGCGGGGCTGGCCGGGGGAGGGGCTATGAGAGGTTGGTGGTGCCAATCAGGGCCCCCATAGGGCTGGTTGGTTGCTTCAGTGCACCTCATAGTAACCGATCGGTCCGATGTTCTGGTCATTCCACTGTTCTGGTTGCTTGGCTTATATATATTGATTGTTGTCATACCCATTAACATGCATATTGTCTATTTATTTGCATCTTTAATGTCCTCCTAAACAGATTTATAATTTTCTCCATTGACAAAGGACATATTATATTTTTATGTAAATCTTTCTTAGCAATATACTTTCTTAGCAATCTTCAAATATATAATACAGTACTATTAACTGAATTATTATAGCTAATAGTATTGATACCCACTATTATTATTATTTTAAAAAATATTTTTATTTATTTCAAAGAGGAAGTGAGAGGGAGAGATAGAAATATCAGTGATGAGAATCATTGATCGGCTGCCTCCTGCAAGCCCCCTATTGGGGATTGAGCCCACAACCTGGGCATGTACCCTGACTGGGAATCGAACTATGACCTCCTAGTAGGCTGATGCTCCTTCTTTTTATAGCCCAATAACATTCCACTGTATATAGAGCACACTTTCTTTGTCCATTCATTGGTTGATGGGCACTTAGGTTGCTTCCACATATTGTAGATGCTGCTGCAATGAACATAGAGATGCATGCGTCTTTTCGAGTTAGTGTTTTTATTTCCTCTAAATAAATACCCAGAAGTGGTGCTGCTGGGTCATGTGGCAGCTTTATTTATACTTTTTGAGGAACTGCCAGCCATACTGATTTACATAGTGGCTGCCCTAATTTACATTCCCAGAAGCAGTGCAAGAGGGTTCCCCTTTCTGAGCATTCTTGCCAACACTTATTATTTCTTGTCTTTTTATATCTCAGATTGAGATTTGCTAGACCGCCCAGTGATAGGAATTGTGGGGGCACAGTCATGCTTTTCTTTAGTCCTCTGCTTGCACTAGACAGTCTTCATTGTAATATGCAAGGAGTCCGGATAGGGGGTGGGGGGAGCTGGTTCCCTCCTTTTCACCTGCACCCAAGGCAGGGGCAAACGCAGGTTTGTGCAGCCTGATATTGATACAGATGTCAAGATCATTGCTTCAAAAAACACCACAGAATCTGCTACACATGGATTTTTCTAACATGAGAAAACATATTGCATCAAGTCACAAAGGCAAAAATGTTTAAGCCCAAAATATAAGACAAATGAAAAAAAGTACAGATTATTTTTCTTAGACGTGTGACATACCCATCTGGCACACCGGCATAAGGCATGTTTTCTACAATTTTTTTCTAATTTTTTAAAAATTGTTTTATTGCTTAAAGTATTACAAAGAGTATTACATATGTTTTCTTTTTTCCCGCCCTTAACAGTCCCCTGGCCTCCCCTACCCCCCAGTGTCTTATGTCCATTGGTTATGCTTATATGCATGCATACAAGTCCTTCAGTTGATCTCTTAGCCCCCTTCCCGTGCCCCAACCCTCCCGGCCTTTTTAAATCCTCAACTGAGGATATGTTTATTGATTTTAGAGAGTGAGGGAGGGAGGGGAAAGAGAGAGAGAGAGGTGGGCGAGTAACATCAATCGGTTGCCTCCTACATGCCCATACAGGGGATGGGACCTGCAACCTAGGTATGTGCTGTGACCAGGAATTGAATCCACAACTTTCTGGTGTAAGGGATGGCACTCCATCCAACTGAGCCACCTATCCAGCCTCCACAGTTTTTAGCTGATACTCTTTGAATGCCTCTTTATAGGAGATTAATTCTGTCACATAATAATAAATGTTAATATTATATTAAATATTAATTACTAGAATATTATATTTATATTAGAGGCCTGACACATGAAATTCCTGCAGGGGTAGGGTCCCTAGGCCTGGCCTGTGATCAGAGTTGATTGGGGCAATTAGGGCCTTCCTGCTGCTGGCTGCGGCCTTCCTTCATTCCATGTCACCGCCTGGTGGTCAGTGCACATCATTGCGAGCGATCAAACTCCCAGTCTCCCCATCAAACTCCTGAGGGGATACTTTGTATATTAGCCTTTTATATATATAGGTAATATACAGAATAGAGTGAGAATTCAGTGTTCCCTTCAGCACAGATGATTGACATTTCTCTTTCTCCTGTACAATTAAAGAAATGTTTCTTTCAATCACACAATTTGTTACTGGGAATGTCTGAAGTTTCACATCACTGTCATATTTGGGGAAACATTGATCAAGTTTCTTTCTTTCATTAAAGAGCAGTAAGATTTCAGGTTATGTCCACACATCACTCGAGCACTTGATGGGCTTTGAAAAAGGAGGGCGCACGTGAGGGGACTGAAGGTGGAGCTTCCTGAGCTGCAAGGTGATGAATTTGCTGCTGTGCTGAGCCCCTCCTAATGGGGCAAGATCTCACTTCATACATCGCTTTCTGAAGGGGGCCTGTGTGGTGTCACCGTCCCAGGTCCCTCAGACCCTGGAAGACCCACACCTGTGCCTCCCATGTCCCCACAAAGCTCTCAGAGCAAAGGGCTTGATGCTCAAGTTTTTGCTGGGGTTTCACCCCCCAACTGGAGTTGAGTCTAAATTCCTTTTTCTTTTTCCAGCACTTGAGTTGCCTAAAGAAAAAGGAAAGTTATCCTTTTCTAGACCAATCAGTGGTTTCGGCTCAAGGGTGGGTCTGCCCCAAGTCCAGCTCTGAACCCGTGGCACCTGGGTGACCTTCCCCCCACTTACACATCATCTGCAAGGTGATCACTTTCAGATTCACATGTGGACACACCTCTCAACCTCTGGGGGCCTCAGCATGTCCACCGGCAGGGTTGGGTCGAGGGGGGAGGGAGACAGGATGATTTCTCAGCCACCACTTCACCCGCCCCCAGGTCCCGTGGAGGCCAAGTTCCCCTTCCAGCCTGGCCACAGTCCCTCCACTAGGGCTTCCTGTTGGGGTGTCCTCGGCCCCACCCCAGAGCTGGGCACTTCGCTCCCTGACACAGGGACCCGGACCCGCTCTGCCCCTGCCTGAGGCAGCCATGGTGCCCCTGCTGCTGCTGCCCCTGCTGTGGGGGGGTGAGTGGCTGAGGGAGGGGGACTGGGCAGGTGGGGGAGGGGCGAGGGTGGCCGCTGAGCCTCTGTTCCCCTCCCAGGGTCCCTGCAGCAGCAGCCAGGCTACCAGTATGAGCTCCAAGTGCAGGAATCGGTGACAGTGCAGGAGGGTCTGTGTGTCCACGTGCCCTGCTCCTTCTCCTACCCGTGGAGTTCGTGGTCTTCCCCTAGCAGCCTCTACACCTACTGGTACCGGGTCAGGGACAACATAGACTATGCTGCTCCTGTGGCCTCAAACAACCCACATAAACCAGTGAAGAGAGAGACCCAAGGCCGCTTCCTCCTCGGGGACCCCAGGACCAACGACTGTTCCCTGAACATCACAGACGCCAGGAGGAGTGACTCAGGACGTTACTTCTTTCGAGTGGAGAGAGGAAATTCTGTGAGATATAATTACCGAGAGAAGATGCTGGATTTGCAGGTGACAGGTAAGGCAGGGGCCCATGAGAGGACCGAGGGAAATGGGACCCCGTCTTAGAGCAGGAACAGGACACTGGACACTCCCTGTCAGGGCTTTGGCTCTGGGTGGTGGGAAGATCACAGGGCCTGGGGAGCTCAGAGGCCCTGAGGCACGAGTCCCACCAAGGATCACACTTTGGGTCCCCAACTCCTGAGGCCCAGGCACTTCCCTCTCTCTTCTTCCTCCCAGACAGACAAACCCCACATCCAGATTCTGGAGCCCCTGGAGTCCGGCCGCCCCACACAGCTGGCCTGCAGCCTGCCAGGGTCCTGTGAAAGGGGACAGCATTTCACCTTCTCCTGGGCGGGAGCCGCTGTGGACTCACTGGACCCCCAGATCCGCCGCTCCTCGGTGCTCACCTTCACCCCGAGGCCCCGGGACCACGGCACCAGCCTCACCTGTCAGGTCCAAGTCCAACAGCCTCTGTTGACCTCACAGAGAACCATCCGGCTGGACGTCTCCTGTGAGTGTTTGAGGGGTGGCTGGGTCCCTAGAGGTAGTGGGACTGGTGTGTGTGTGTGTGTGTGTGTGTGTGTGTGTGTGTGTGTGTGAATGTGCTGGAGGCTCAGCTAACCTGAGGACACCTGGACATGGATCTGCATGTAGGTGGGGAGGGGCCAGAAGGAGAGAACCCCTCCTTGCCGGTTCCCATCTCCACACCTTGGGTATGGGGTGACATCCATATGAAGGGGGGCCCTGTCTTTCTCTCCCAGATGCCCCAGGGAACCTCACCATAGGCGTCTCCTTCAGAAACGACACGGGTAGGAAAGAACCCCTCCTCTCTGGGCTGGGACCTGCCCCGGGAGCTGGTGGGGCAGAGGGGGGAGCAGGAGCTTGAATGGGATGAGACCTGGGAAGGGCAAGGATGAAAGTCATCACCCCAGTCCCTCACCTCTGGTGGGTGCGTGCCTGATCTGTGTTCCACTCACACCTCTCTCTCTCT